GTATCGTTGCATCAAGAGAAAGTTGTGGTCCGGCAGAAAAGATGACCCCGAGGTGCGCAAAGAATTAAATGTGGAGCCTTTGAAATTGGTATAAATTAAAAAGCTGCGGGAATAAACTTAGAAGAAACGAAGAATTATTAAATATCCGAAAATTTAGAAATCGAATTGTTTGAAAATATAATTAAGCTACTATTAAAATATTCATCATCACTTCAAATGACTTACTTGTTAATCTCGTAAGTATACGAAAAGGACCGTTCTGCTGGCTGAATTTCTCACCATTTTCGCCTTGAAAATTGTCTTCAGCGGCAGAAACCGTCACGGTACAAGCAAAGAGAAGAAAGAGAGAAAGATGAATCTTCGAAGTCATTTTGCCCCACCGAAATCTGCACAAATCCCAACAAATGACATATCAAAACGCGGCAAATTAATTCAATTCTTTGAATTTGGCGGTGCATTTATTATTCCGAGCATACGCTGTCGGGCCAGTCCAGTTTTTCTCGACCCTCTGCTTTCAAGACCGGTCACACTTTTGTAAATTTACATCCAAACCGACGGAAAAAATATATCAATGCCCCATCGAAATCTTGACAAAATAACCCAAGTTTTTCACCAATAGTAGCTTAGATAGCACTTAGCTCAATACCGGTGGTGTATTTGTGATAGATCTCCTACTTTGAGAAAGAAAGGCAATATTCTGTAGAAAATGGCGTGCTTTCTGCTCTATTTTACCGGACGTCGAGGCCACCCGATGTGACACAGGGCAAATGTCGCAATGAGTTTGATATGTCGAAAATCCTAGGAGAGGCAGGCAAGGAAGAAATTTTACAACAAATGTTCCGAAAATTCTAGATCTCAAATCGTCTTCCTAACAGATATTTTCCGAAAATTGACGTCGGGTGCCCTTGAATATTACCCAGATCTCTTTTCGATGAAGCCAAAGGCGAGATCTAGTAAAGTAAGAAAATTCATTATTATTATTATTATTATTATTATTATTATTATTATTATTATTATTTTATTTATTATTATTGGCTACTCAAGCTGTCTATATATATTGAGGGAGTGACGTGAGTGTTGTCATCAGCACGCGCTATGGTTTCTGCGATTCATTCTTTACAAAATCTTTTTTTCTGGTCGTTTCCCCTTTTGCTTGCCTCATTACGACGCACGAACACGTGTATCGATCATGACCGGCTTTAATTTACACAAGCCATGGCACATTGAAGAACAAGAAAATGGAAAAGTTGCTTTTTTATGATTTCTAATATACCTAATATGGTGACTTCTAGTATGCAGGGATAGGATCACCCACACATACGCGTCCGGTTAGACTGCGCTCATACTCGTTTCTTGCCTACAAGACAAAACCAGCCTTTTAATTACTATTTGAGTTTCTCACATTTCTGGATTGTATTGTCTCCTGCAACTTCTTGTGTTAAGCAATATTTCAAGATAGCGGTTTGGGGATTAACGTACTAATTAATTCGTATGTGTAATCAAATGGTGACGAGTGAAATTAGGGAATAATTTCACGCGCGTTTTGTCCAAACCCTAAGGATTTGGACAAAACGCGCGGGAAATTATTCGCTAATTTCACGAGTATACCATTTGATTACCTATTAATATCATGGGTGACGAATTACGTTAGCAGTCTTGGATTTTTGACATGTTTATCCTGGATTGTATTGATCGAGAATTCCACTCTCTCAAATGTTTAGACTTTTGTTTAGACTCAGAATTTTTCAGAGTTTTTCGGCAAAATACCTGTTAGAATCCTTCTTGATGTTCTCTTGTGTGTTCAGGTTTTCTAAAGAGTCTTTTTTTGCCCTGACATCTTCATTCACGGCATTTTAAAACTTCGTCGCCATCTTGACAGTGAGACGTACGGAAGGGTTGCCATGGCAATTTTGTAATTTCACGTGTGAAATTACAAATTAACGCTAAAATTTCGCGCCAAAAATTAATTAATTTATTCGTCACCTATGATATTATTACAGAAATCACGGCAATAATGCACTGCATAATCATGGTAGTTTCTTAAAGTTGCAGAGAAGAAAACTAATCAATACCCACAACAAAAGAAACACCCAAGATAACATACTGTAGAGTTCAGTACTCCATAGAAAAGTGCAAGAGTACGATTTTTAGTCGTGATTTGAGCAACAAAACAGAAGCGCAACTGAAACGTTACGACAAGGACCACATTAGCTGCCATGAACTGATCGGATGGACTCATGATTAGTGGCCAATTTAAAACTTTGAGCATCATCAAGGGGTTCTTGGTCAATTATCTACGAGAGATAAAGAAGCTTCACTATAAGAAATATATGCGTGAAAATGGCGCGTTGTAATTGCACCATTTGAAGAGAGAGCATCATAGTAGCACGCACGCTCAGAACGAAAAAAAACTTTATAGGCGTTTCTTATTTTGTGCATTTCAGGCCGGTCATTACGATAACAACCTTCATTCGTATCTGACACTTGCGCGACCTTGTTTTTAAAAAGGGAGGCTCTCCAGCATTAGACAAGTGTAGTTTGCTGCTTTCCGTTATTGCTCTATAAGATCCCTTGACGCACACGGATCCGTGCAGAAGAGGAAAATGAAGTTGCATGAAATCGCAGGCAATGAAAAAATTAAAACAGGAATAGCTCATACTTTCTTTTGAGTTCATGCATGGGCATCCTCACTCAAGGAATTTTAAAATTCGACCGTGGTGCCAATGCTCCCGGGCAACCTTATAGCACAAGACCACTCAGTAAGATTTCTTTTTTTACAGTTACAAAGGCATAAAGTAAAAGTATTTTTATTATTACTGACACAACCACGCAGGGGATTTGTGAGTTTTTTTAGTTAGCCACATTTTCATAAACTAACTGAGTTATTCCTCGCTCTCTGATTGGCTAATTTCTATCAACAGACATTAAATTTTGATTTCTGCAAGATGGAACACCCGCTTAATACGGACACTCGTATACTAACGGATAGTTTCTAAAATCTACCCTTTTAATAAGGACACCGGTTAATACAGCCAATGGACACTTTTCTGTGTCCCGAGGCACAAACTCTGTTAACCCCTGCTATTTACGGACACTGGTTATCTGCGTACCGTCTCTTTTCCTTGTCACAATTACGTGCTAATTGTTGATATTTTACATTGTTCAAACAATGACAGGTTTCTGGGTTTAAGTAGCAGGATAGCTTGATATGTTTGATTTTAAGTCTTTCTTTCCGTGTACTATATAGCCATTTAGTAATTACTAATCAAGTTTTTCTTCCTTGGCTTTTCGGCGCAGTCATTGTTCCTACCCTTCTTCCTCTTTGTCTGCCATAGTCTTTATATCAATACAGCATGTGTCCGGGACGTTTTTTCGGACAGCCCACTTAATACGGACTCCATGCAGGCATGTCTCCTAACCGTCCGTATTAACCGAGTTCTGTTGTTACTAGTTTCTTTTTAAAAGGAAAAATATTTTTTACTGATTCTTTTTCCAAACTTTTGTTAAAGTAAAAAGCAAATTGACGCCAGATCCGCAGCAGCAAAGTCAAATTTTCTAGTCGGATTCACTCGCCTTGGGCTCGTGCTCGTGGATCCACAACACTTTGACAATGTTTATGATACAGTTTTATTATCAATAAGAGGACAGAGGAAAAAGAAACTAGCGTCAATGTGATGACTTGAACCAGTTTTACTACTAAAATTATTATTTAATTAACTATTCAGGACTATTTCCCTATTTCATCGTATGTAGCGGAGGTCACTCATCCATTTGCAAGCGCTGATCGGGACAGCTTCAGAATGCCTTCAGATACACTTGTCTCCCTTTCCCATGTTGTTGCTTAAACTTGACTTTATGTCTACCAGTGTGTGAAAGTCAGTAACCAATCCTCAATTAATCATACATGTATGTAGACAGAGATCGCCACAGTGGGGCAGGTGCTGGGGAATCTTAGAGGACGTGAAAATTATCCACTTTGAACCTGTTATTGTACCGTAGATAAAACGTTGCGAACCAGTTAAACTACAAGAAGTATTAAAATATCAAATAATTTTCTAGCTTTTTAAAAGTTGTCATAATTAATGATAATAATTATAATCATTTTTTTCCATATCAGAGTGTCAGAATTACGGAAGTCTTAACAACGCTGACAGAAAGATTACGTACAACACTTCTTACGACGGTTATTGTGACAGTGGAATTGGACCTGGTTGGTTTCGTTTCCAGGGTTCAGCCGGCACAAGATTGCCAACTTCATGTCCACCGTATAACAGATGTGGAACTCATGCACCCGCCTGGTTGAATGGTGGACACCCCACAGTAGCAGACGGTCAGGTCAGCAGGCAGGTGTGTTTTCACTGGACATCAAGCTGCTGTGACTGGTCAACAAACATCAATGTGACAAATTGTGGTTCATATTATTTGTACTATCTTAGTGGTACACCTGCTTGTAGACTCCGTTATTGTGGCACTAACTAAAAACAAGGTGCAAATAAAGTAATACATGTTCTATCATTTCATTTAAGTAGGCTTCATTCTATGAAAGAAACAAACAAAAAAAGAAAAAAATTGCCCTTAACTTCAATTTGTGGATTTGCATAACTTAAGCAGTGAGGATAAATATTCTTTTAAGCCGTTTTGAGGATCAAGTAAGAAATAAATAATGGTAATAGAACTTACCGGAAAGTCAAACTAGGTAAAATAATACATTAAATCAACAATGCATTTTTTTGTGTCACTTGTCACAATGATCAGAAATATACACCGAGTGATGTTTTAACTTAGAAGATGTACCGGGAAAGGCGGGTTATGAATCTGCTCACTTTTTTTAATATTTTAAAATCGGTATAGGGATGCACTCTGTAAAATGGGAAACGAAATACATAATGACTATAGGTACAGTCAACTCACGCACTATGTTAAGGAAATTTTTGGAGTAGGATTGGAGTCTCTGAGAAATAAACGTACAGTTTAGTGAAACACTTGTCACATGTGTGTGTTTTTATCGGCTATTTGCACGTTGGCGTCATTTTACCCACTAACAGAATCCTCTAAACCCCAGATTAAATAAAGCTTTCTTATACCGATTGAGCTAAATCCAGGCCAGACGGTGGAGTTTTACCGTGGGAATCAAGTGTGCAAGTCGCGTAGCGCCCGTGCGAAGGAAATGAAGCGTCAATCGGATATGTGCGGCCGTGCTGAAAGTAAGAAATGAAACGAATCGAATCTAGAAAGAAAATTGAGATTTTAATCTCAAACAGTTAATAAGGAATCAAAGAAAAATTTTTTGACCCCGGCGAGATTTAAACAGGGTGTCAAACTCGAAGAATGACGGCCTGCTCTCTCCGGGTGTCCATTAAAGATCTCCCATCGTTAGCCGTTTTGGGAACTTCATCTTAACGAACCGCAGACGTGTTTTCGGTCGTCGCTTCTCTCCCGTCGAAAAATAACGTCAGCGAATCCGAGCGGCAAAACGGTTTCCGTGACGTAGAACCTTTTTAGCCAATCACAGTTTAGCTCTGAAAATCAAGGAACTAACTCGCCAGACTCCTTGCAAGATCGTACGCGGTGGATGTGTATACAAGTCGAAATTGAAAGGACGACATAGCCTGTGTACAGCCGCCGCGTTTACGAAAGTTAATTTGCCCGGATTGTGAGACTGATTGATGAAATAAGTACCAAGAGGATTCATATCGAAGAAAAGATTAGAGGAATTTTTTTTTTTATCTATTTGCTTACGGGGTCAAGGATTTATCACACCTTGTTGTTTTGATCATGTTCAAAATAGACTCCAGTATCTCTTTTTCTTCAGATTTAGTGAGGAGAGTGTAATCGCGCGCGAGCGTCGAGCAGCGAAGCCGCGAAAGACGAGAAACGAGGGCGGCAGCCTCTTCCGTCTCTCGCCTTCAGTCATGCTCACAGTAATTTTCAAAGAGTTAAAATAACTCCTCTAGTGGGGTTAATTTAACTCCTTACAGTGGAGTTATTTTTTGGGGGAGTGAGAGAGAATTCTTGGGGGGAGTTATTTTAAAAGGAGTTTAAAGAACTCTTTTTCAGGAGTAAAAATCATCCCAGATATCGAGGAGTTAAAATAACCCCCAAAAAGGAGTTGATCATGTACCTTAATGTTTTACACCATAAAAGGGACTATCCGGTTCCTAAAATTTTTACTCGATTTTTAGAGTTATAATAACTACCTAAACATTACTGTGCACGTTGATCAGGTCATTTGCGTGTCTCGCGGGTTTTACTCGGCGGACCAAGAAAAAAGGGAGACTGCTCGTAGACCGTCATCTCTATTAAGCGTACGCGGTCACCCTTTCTAAGGTCCCAAAGTCCTGATTTTATTGTTTTCACCTGTATTAAAACACTAAATGTCCGACAGTTCTATATTCTCAGTAAATTTCACAAAATCGAAAAATTCCAGCTGATCTAAACTATCATCATCCGACCGGCCATATAGCCACAGCGTTATTTTTAACCGTGGTGTCAACATTGAACATCAAATTGATCCGTTAACTAGCTTCTCTTTTAACCAATAGCTACCAATTGCACGAAAAATTGTCCCCTTCAAAATGATCTTGCTCACAAGGCACTTCTAAACCATAACCAGCTCCTCTGTTTGCGTTTTTAATTAAAAAATGCAAAAGATAATCAAGTGTCAAATAAAATGCCATTCTCACTAACCCTGATGTTGAATTTTACGATACCTGTATTAAGCGGTCAACCTGTATTAAGCGGCACTTAGCCATTCCCTGTGGGTGATCGCTTAATTATACAGGTTTGACTGTACCTTGTCGTGTGCCGCTTTAAATATGTTTTAGAATCCTTTATCTTTGAAAGCTAGGACATGTGGTAATTAGTTTCCAATGCGTGGTTGCTTCTTGGTTCAGACAGAACTTGGTCAGATCGAAAGTTATATTTGTTCTTGATGTTCTTTTCATGGTTTTAACTTCCACAGTTTTTTATTACATGAGTCTTCTGCTGTAAATATTTATTTCACGCTGAGTCCGGCCCAGATTTATAATTTCAGATCATTGTTTTGTGGCGATACTTGTAGGATCAATATTCTTTTAAGCCCTTTTAAAGATCAAGTAAGAAATAAATAGTGGTAATAGAACTCACCAGGAAGTCAAACTAGGTAAAATAATACCTTATGAAATTAGCAATTCAGTTTTTTGTGTCACTTGTCACGATAAATATACACTGAGTCCAAGAACGCCATGCAGTTGTTAAATTAACTGCGATGGACAGAAATTCCTCCTTCTACGCAGGCTACCAAAGCTGTCCCTTCTCATCTTCACTAAAGTACGATTTTTACCCTCACATTTATGATAATTATGAATCGTCAGGTTAGAACAGCAGCAACTTTTTTTTTCTCGTGGCCACTAAAGCATCAATTATGTTCAGATATTCATTAAAAGTGGACATTTCTGACTTAGCCAAGGAGAGATGATGACTGAAAAAAAAAAATAATAATTTAACAGGCCCGACCTTTATCCCGCGAGTCTGAAGAGTTTTTTAATGTACTTTATGCCCCATGCTCGTTCTCCCAAACCTTAAATAATAGTTGGGTCAACGGTACATTGCTGTGATGAGCTCTGTTTGCTGTAATGAGACTGATGCAGTACACAGCACCATGAAACACCATAGTTTGGCCACTTGAGTGGCCGTTTATTCTTTAATAAGATTCCCAGAAAATACAAGGCAGAAACTAATTATCCAATTGCAAGAAAGGTGAGGACAAAAATCGTCCACAAAAAGAAAATTGACAACTTCTCTCCTCCGGAATTAGGGAGGAAGTGGGAGGGGGAAAAAACCTTTGCACACGGCGGTGTGAAGACAAAGAGGCTTATAACTTAGCCTGCTTCAACTTATATATCACTCTGAACACCACCTCCGGGATGTAGAGCATTGTTCGCGTGATCTAAACTTAAACTCTTCAAAGGATAACTAAGCAGGATGCATAAAGACACTTACTTCCCCAACGGGAGTAAATTTCCTATCCCCATGCACGTCCAGCTTTTAATTATACGCGCAGGTTCTAAACGATCGACCAGTTTTATATCTGTGTCACGGTCTATTTTTAGATGAAATGGTAAATTTTTGTACGGCGAAGACCAAACTTGTCACTTTGTACAATGTATAGCACTCCAGAAGATACCATTTGGCTGTTCTGGAGCATTTAGTTGCTATATATTACGTCAATGAATGTACTGAATCCACATATTGCCGGGCATATTGCTTGCGATTCCTATCTGACAAGTCTGATATATTCTAATATTAGATAAAATCTTCAAATAAACTTTGAGCGAATAAACTAAATAGATCGGCAATTTCACTTTTGTTTCGCTTTGATGACATACTGAACTAAGTGAGTTTACACACCTAATTAAAAAATTCAAGGATTCTATTACCAACCTGTTTGTGTATCATGCGTTCCTGTTGCTGAAGCAATCTCATTTTTCCTGGTTCGTATTGGGTAAATTGGCAATGTAGATTTCTGTGTCAGTTGTCACGGAGATCAGAAATATACACGGAATCCAAGAACGCCGTGCAGTTGCTAAATATACTACGATGGACAGATATTTCAACTTAGAAGATCTGCTGCGAAGGGCAGGGTATGAATCTGCTTACTTGTTTTAATATTGATCTTTATAGGGATGTACTCTGTAAAATCGGAAACGGAATGCATAACGACTATGGGTACAGTCAACTCTCGTCTTGCGCACACGCTGGCAATGCGAACAGAAGCTAAAATTACCCTTCTACTGCAGACTGTTGCTTGCTTACAAGGACACTAACTCGCGGTTCAGATGGGAAATGTCCTTTTAATGTTGAGGAAATTTTTTGGATTAGGGTTGAGTCTTTTTTAGTATAAACGTACAATTTAATGAAATGCCTGTTACCTGCGTTTGTTTTTATTGAGTATGACAATAGGCTATTTACACGTTGGCGTCAGTTTACTCACTACCAGAATCCTCTGAGACCCGGATTTAATAAAACGTTCTACCGATCTAGCTAAATCCAGGCCAGACGGTGGAGTTTTACCGTGTGAATTAAGGATGTGCAAGTAGTGTCCCACACGTGCGATGGAATCCAAATGTCAATTGTATCCTTGCGCGTGCTGAAAGTGAGAAACCCAAAAAATCGACTCTAGAAAATTGAGATGAACTAGGAATCAAAGAAAAATCTTTCGACTCTGACGAGAATGACAGCCTGCTTTCTCCGGGTCTCCATTACAGATCTTCCGTCGTTAGCAATTTTGGAAAGCTTCATCTTAACTCACATTTTTCTTGGCCACTTTGCAATACTCCTGCCATACAAAACCATCGAACTAGCTCACGCAGCTGTTATACAGCTGGGTTTACTCTAGCTACTCGTTGTGGTATACTAAATACCCCTCAGACCTTTCCCAGCCTTACCTTAATTTAAAATATCTCCAAGAGAGCCGTCTTCATCGCTAATAACGCTGCGCAAATAAATAAAATAAGGTCATCAACGAATTCCAGTTTTGCCGAGCATCTGTGGTGAGAGCATCACCTTGTCGTCCCATATAAGGGAATTTAAGACAGTCCCGGATTCTGGATTCCACACGCCGTGGATTCCGGATTCCAAAGCCTAGGATCCCGAATTCCCCCATCAAAATGTCCAATATTCCAGATTCAACAAGCAAAAAAATTTCCGGGATTCCGGATTTGGATTCTTTTGCATGGCGCGAGCCTTGGGCTTCAGGCAAATCCGTTTACTGTCTTTTTCCTCTCAAAGGACGATTAGTACTCGAGAGTATAGCCAAATCATCAGCACTTCAAGATGGGTAAAGAAGGTCGAACTGTATACCTCTATGTTGACCTGTATCTCTCAGGATGGCAACGACCTATTAATACTAGAGACAGAGGATTCATCAATTTAACCTGCCTTACTTGTCTTTCTTGTACTCCGGGGTTAACAGCAAATGCCTCTGAGAGCGTATTGTGAAGAAAGATTTCGGATTACAGTTAGCCTGAGACCAGGCTCCGCATTGGGGGTAAAAGGCAAAAAACGGGGTCAAATAGGAAAAAATATCGGCGAGCGAAGCAAGCCGAGTGCAGTTTTTTTTTTTTTTTTTTCACCAACGCCGATTTTTTCCCCCTTTGCCCACAATACGGAGCCTGGCCCCAGGCTAGTTTACAGTCAAACCGAGAAAACCGTGAACACCAGAAATATTTCTGGAATGTTATTGTGTTGCGAGGAATAAATAATAATAAAAAAAAAACAATCAGGCGTGAGAAAACTAAACGGCAAGCAAGAACGTTAATAACAGTTTGTGGTTTTGTGGCTAGTTCGCTTGTCTTGATCTTTGCTGTAATTGGTCATAACGCAATAAACATACCTGAAATATTTCAAGTGTTCACGATTTTCCCGGTCCCTCTGTAAAAGTGATCATAGAAAAGGCCTATGTTACATGTACAAAGTGAATATGTGTTCGGCGCAGCCTCTTCCTCCGTGGAAACCTCCCTGTTCTTGTCTTAGCCTGCTTTAAATCGCTTTTTTTAAAAATTATTGATTCGCCCCAGTAAGACCCTGCAGACACTTACAGATTATCTTACATTGGATCAAAAATGTGTTCCCTCTCACAGTTGGATGGAAATTCTAGTCATATCAAATGTGTAGATCCGAGCTGATTCAACAACAACAATACGAAATGAAAATCCACAGGATGCAATGCTGAATTCATTGCATTTGTTATTATTCTGGGAAGCACATGAATCGAGACATTTGGAAAAGGAAACAACAGTCGAACAAAAGAACACGGGTTAATTAGAGGCAAGATGTGGATTGCCAAGTGAAGCCCGACACTCAAAAAACACTTCAGGGTTGAACTCCTGCTTCCCAAATAAATGAGGCCAAATAAGAGAGAGGGGGAGAAAGAGACCAGTCAAAAGGAGACTTAATTAAGTGTATTCATGTCAGTTTCAACGTTTTACATTTTTAGGCCACTATAACGTGATTTGAAAAAATGTTTAAAGGTTTAAAAAAGGTTAAGGCTTGTTTATGTGAAAAGTGCACTTAGCTTATCCAGCTAGTTTACAGGCACTAACTCAAATACTTAGAAACAAATAATTCAAATACTATGCTTTACATCTGAAGCAGATTACTTCTCTGCGCTTTACTTATCCCTTTAAGAGAACACAATGGAAATATTGTTATCAAGAAAGGAAATATTACTTTTTCGTTAAAGCAAGATGTTGGGAGAGCAACAAGTTCTGCTTGTCCAGGTGCGCTATTTCTATGGAAGCTACAGTGTATATGCTTCTTGCTCAAGAAAGTCCAGGTATACCTACCTTTTAAGATTAATCTGTGCTTACGCACTGCTCTTAACCAACACATTTTTCTACGCTGAATTGCAAGTTTCGTTGTAAGGAAGAAAGAAGGATATCGGTTGGGGTGTACGTGGAAGAACCTAGGTACTTTAAAAGGACATTACGCTCCCCGGTTTAACAGTATGCATATTGAATCCACCAAAGATCAGATATGGTTACAGAGCTAACGCTGCTCAAATATATAAAAGGTCATCAGTGGAATCCAGTTCCGTGTCGTCTAGAGTGAAAGCATCGCTTTAGTCTTTATCTTGTTGCTGGGGATCAAGCATAAGAGGATTATTCCTTTGTGGGCAAGGGCAAACGGAGAGGTGGAGCATGACAGCCGAGCAAAGCTGCAGGCTTATTAAGACTATGTTGCTTAAGCGACTAGTTGATTTTGATATAATAAGGACTTTACTAAGTCTTTGACCAAGAAACATTTTGTTGAGAAGAAACTAATCGTTGACATCTTCAAACAGTTTTATTAACTCTCCTTAGGGGATTGTTACAGTTCTAGCTCAGAGTTTTATTTGTTTCATCGTCTATTGCTTTATTTCAAAAAAGGGGGAGATGTAGTGATCGTATATTGGGTTTCCTGTACCCGTGCTTGTAAGGCATTGTGGGAAGTGTGTAAATATATGGCGGACTGAAAATGTGCGTTGTTTTTTCTGAGGTGTAATCCGTAATCATCGAGGACCAGTCTGGCGTGCAGTCACTACACCCTTTTATTTAACAACGCTGACAGAAAGATTACGTACACTTCTTACCACGGTTATTGTGACAGTGGAATCGGACCTGGATGGTTTCGTTTTGAGGGCTCAGCAGGCATAAGAATGCCAACTTCATATCAACCAACTAACAGATGTGGGACTCACATTACAAACTGGACTCTATTGTGGACACCCCTCAGTAGCAGATGGTCAGGTCAGCAGGACGGTGTGTTTTCATTGGACTGCAGGTTGTTGTGAATTTTCAACAAACATCAAAGTGAGACTGCATTGTGGTTCTTATTATGTGTACTATCTTAATGGCATACCTACTTGCTATGGCAGTTATTGTAGAATTCATTAAAAACAAGGCGCAAAGAGAGTATTACATGTCCACTTTAATTTCACTCAAAGTGGCTTTCTTTCTTTCTTTCTTTCTTTCATGTATTAA